TTAGAGATTATAGTGAATATTTCTCTGTGATATATCATTATAATGACTCTTTTTATGAAACTAATGCCATATATCATTCACATCCATGATTTTTCTAATCCCTCAGTGAACTGCTCTGTGTACACTCTCTGCTCTCACCCCACACTACTCCATGGCCAGCCAGTCATCAGGTCATTCACAGTAGCTCACAAGGCTTCTTATAAAAATAGCCTTTAAATGCATCCTGTTGTCTCCAGTCATACTGAACTTCTTTCCATTCTTCTAGTTGGAAGGTCTATTAAGAGGTTAAAAGCATGAGTTCTGCTATCTACTCAGGCAAGTGATTTCTCTGTTTCAGTTGCCACATTTGTAAAATAGGGATAGTATATCTACCTCAGGGGTGTATTGTAAAGATTAAATGAGATCATTGATGTAAAGCAACTAGAATAGGACTTGGCATAAAGTAAGCATGCTGTAAATAATAATAGTAATTATCACCACCATCATTATTATAATTCCTTGACTACTCCATTTCTTGCCTCAGAGCCTGGAACATTGTTAAACTCCAGTTCACTTGGTTAAACTACATAGCCTTCAGGTTTAAAGGCTTTTACTTTATTTTTTTAATTAATTAATTAATTAATTAATTTTTAAATTTTTAATTAAATTTGTTTTTTAATTTACATCCAAGTTAGCATATAGTGCAACAATGATTTCAGGAGTAGATTCCTTAGTGCTCCTTACTCATTTAGCCCATCCCCCCTCCCACACCCCCTCCTGTAACTCTCTGTTTGTTCTCCATATTTATGAGTCTCTTCTGTTTTGTCCCCCTCGCTGTTTTTATGTTATTTTTGCTTCCCTTCCCTTGTGTTCATCTGATCTGTGTCTTAGAGTCCTCATATGAGTGAAGTCATATGATATTTGTCTTTCTCTGACTGACCAATTTTGCTTAGCATAATACCCTCTAGTTCCATCCACATAGTTTTGAATAGCAAGATTTCATTCTTTTTGATTGCCGAGTAATACTCCATTGTATATATATACCACATCTTCTTTATCCATTCATCCATTAATGGACATTTGGGCTTTTTCCATACTTTGGCTATTATTGATAGTGCTGCTATAAACATTGGGGTGCATGTGCCCCTTTGAAACAAAAGGCCTTCACTTTAAAAGTACATTCCTAGAGGAAACATTTTCTGAGGCTCACCTCCCCCCACCTATAGGAAATCTGGGTTAAGGCACTCATTGTGTGTTGTTGCCTTAGCAACCTGTACTTCCTTATGGTATCACATTGTATTATACTGGGCTGTTTCCCATATGCCTTTCCCATTAGACTGTGAGCTTCTGAGTGCATTCTAGATGCTTAGACCTTGGTGATTAATTGTTGAGGATGACAGAATAAAAGTCTATGAATAAATAGCTCTTCCTACTTGGGGAACTCACTGTGAGCTTTATTCTGTTTTCTGTTTTAATCTTTAAGATTAACTTTAAATATTGCTCTCTATATCTTCCTCTAATTCTACAGGTCTCTAGACTTTTGTTGAGTGAAGAACAATTTACTATGAGGTGACCTACAAAAACAACACTCAGAATTCTCTCAAATCACATTGGTCAGTGCAATCAGCTCTCAGATATTTGCTTGAGAAGCAGCCACAGGTAATTTCATCTTCTTATCATTTTTCACCTGCTTAGTCACTTCCCTTCCTGCTTAGTTAGTTACTGTATACTTAGGGAAATGTGAAATCACTTTAAATCAAGCTCATTGTAACAATCTAGAAAACAATGTATATTAACTTATAATGTATTTTTTTTCTCTTTAACACTATGGAGAAGGTAGCTAGAATTGACTGTACTTGTGTTAGAATAGAAGATATGAACTTATTTTCAGTCACAGATTGCCTCATTGTTAGCCTGTTGGCAATCTATTAATGTTTCTAGTTTCATGAATTCAGATGGAAACCACTTAGCACCTTTTATAAATCTAGAGCAGAAAAGCTATTGTTAGTCTTGAATCCCTCCTCTTTGAATATGTCCTCCCCTTTTTGCAGCCATCCTTATAGGCTGGGTATATCCCCAATAGCCACAGCATGGATAATATATCATGGTGGTCTCTTTGGATAGAAAAGGGTGAACTGTAGATACCTTCCTGGAGCTTATTGCTTGACTTGTCTCTATCCTCACCCTTGGAATGGTGATGCCACTACTGATCCTCATCCTGTTGTCATTTCTGATTTGGGGCTGATGCTTTGCTGTCCTTAATTTCCACTTTCTCCTACCAAGGATAGCTCAGATTCTTGATGATCCCCACTGCCTCAGACCAAAGCTCTCAGCTGGCCTGAGCAATAGTTCTACAGAGTCCAGGTCCTGATCCATCATGATTAGAGTCTGTTTCAAAGAGTTAGGACATAGATCTTTTGCCTTGGTTGATTATGTAGGCTAAGAATGGAGAGCCTTATTGGTGACTCTTCTGGAGAAGGGGTTTGTGTATCCAAAGGCAGGATTGGAAGGGAGAATTTTAGTGTGCTTTTCACTCAGGGAATCAAGTGACCATTTTTGGAGAGATTCAGAGATCATGGAGTAGACATTATGACTCTATGGACTTGGTAAGTTTCTGTAACCTTGGTTACTTCCACATGGTTGTTAGTTTGTCACCCCTTTTTAATTTCTTTGTAATTATCAAGAAGCCAAGGAAACAAAGAAAGAAACAAAAGTACCCTATGCAACATGAAGGAACGGTAAGCTTATACAGGGTGAGGTATCAAAGTGAGGAGTTCCTAGACAAACTTCAAGACTAAAGTGGGATGAGTCATTATGGAGTGATAGGTTGGTGGTTGCATATACTGAGAGGTGAGCAAAATAGACTGATTCTGGGAGTGGGGAGCTTGGGAGGTTATCTATAATGAAAAGGGGCCCAACATAGACTTTCCTTGCCAAGTCAAGCAAAACTATTCTAACAGCAATGAAAAATGAAGGACTAAAGCTGTCTTAAGGCAAAGAAGAAGCAAGAATAAAGGTGTATGTTCTACCAAGTGAGAAAAGACACGAGGGAAAATTCTGAGAGGTGACAGCTGTAATCCAGATGTTTTCTAGCAAGCAAATGAAAGAATTTGAAAAGCAAGTTATAAACTCTTCTGAGTGTGTAGAAACAGCCTGCCTTGCTCTGGCTGAGGATGAAAAGACCTGAAAATTGCATAGATGCCTAGAAAAATTAAGCAGAGCAGACACTATTCATTGCCAATCCAGAACTCACTCTCCTATCTGCTTCCTAACAGCCATGTGATTTTGCTCAGGAATTTACTGTTCTTCACAGAGCCATCTTGCTTCATGGGAAACTGACCCTCTGTCCCCATCTCCAGGGCACCATTTAAGCCCATGATGACAATCCCATTCCCAAAGCCTGTGTTTGGTTTAGGAAGGAACCATGTTCCAAATTTACTAAGGAAGACTTAAAAAATGTTTCTGGGTTTGCCCATAAAAAAGAAGCATGAGAAGAGATAGTCCAGTTATTCTTTTCATGTCTGGATGGAATACCTGAAAATAGTAGCCATTTGCCACAAGCCTGCTGATGAAGTCAACATACAAAGTGAGCAGAAGCAAGGAAATTGTAGAGGCCGAGCTGGGGCCCTGCTGTACTACACCTGGAAATGATCTACCTCTGGACTTACTTTTTAAGCCTCTTTGAGTTGGGACTTTCTTGTATCCATAGCCCAAAGAATTCTAACCAACAGAGAAGGTTTCCATCTCCTCTGGGCTCTTCTGAGATCGAGATACACTTGGACTCAGCTATAGCATGTTCCTGGTCCAGATTGCAAACTGACTCTGAAATCTTTGTGAGTCTCAGAGTCCCACTCAGTTCCCTTAGAACTTAATTTGCTTTCCATCACTTTTTAAGAGTAAAGTATGGGAGGAAAGGTGAGTTAGGGAAAATTTCCTGAGAGATCCCCAAAGTTAAGAGGAAAATCAACAAACTTACTTTTCCAAAAGTGCAGGCAGTGCTGAGGTGGCAGGTAGGTTGCCTTTCCCATTGGTTGATTCTGACTGAATGAAAAATAGGAGACAGGCAATTGAAGATCAGCTAGGAAGGAAGAAACCAGAGCTGCTAGGTCTCTGATAGGGCTGGGAAGGGGTTGCTGCCGTCCCACCTCTTCCCCTGCTTTCTAATCTGCATCAAGCCCAAACATTGGGCTCCATTCCTTAGTGCCCCCTGAGGCCCATGCAACTTGCACCTTTTACTTCCCCTCTTCCAAGTTTTCATGAGTGAAGAATTTACATCTTGAGGCTCCCTTCTGGAGGGGAGCCATCCAGTTCTGAGACGGTTGTTTACTGACTTGGACTGAATATCAGCAGGTCTCCTACCAAACACAGGCCCATCACTGCCCTGGAGATGTAGCTCCAAGCACAATCCTCAGGAGATCCCTGTCATTCCTAAAACCCCAAGCCATCAGAAATGTCTTTATAATAAATTCCACAGGACTACCACATTGTTTTGTTGTAATGGATTTGGGTTAAGAAATGGTTTTCAAATCTGGCTGCACCTTAGAATCCCCTGGGGGAGATTTTTTTAAAGTACTGATCCAATTCAGAATCTTGGGATGAGGCCTGGGCAACGTTTTAGAAGTACCTTCTGTGATTTTAACACATATCCCTGGTTGCCAACTTTTAGCCTAAAGGAATACACAGTTGACCTTTAAAAAACACGGGTTTGAACTACTCAGGCCCTCTTACACAGATTTTTTTTTCTATAGATACAGTACAGTACTATAAATGTATTTTCTCTTCCTTATGATTTTCTTAACATTTTCTTTTCTCTAGCTCACTTTATTATAAGAATACAGTATATAATACATATAACGTGCAAAATATGTGTTAATTGACTTTTTATGTTATTGGTAATTATGGCTTCGGATCATCAGTAGTTTTGTGGGGATCAAAAGTTATATGCGGGTTTTTAACTGCATGGGGGTGGGTGTCCCTAACCCCTGCATTTTTCAAGGGTCAACTGTATATTTAGAAAACATATTCTTACATTTAGTATAGTACCAGAAATAGGTCTATTAAACACACTAACTGGCCCTCCCTAAGCTCCTTTAAAAAAATTTTTTTTTAGGTTGCTTTGTTTTAATGGGTGATTTGGGAGTTTAGGTTAGTTTCATAGATGATTGAAAAAGAGGTGAAAGAAGCTACTGCTACCAATTGGCTCAAAAGAGCTCGAATCTATTTTATCTATTGCTTACACAATCAGATTGTTGCCTTATAGAGTAGTGCTAGGCATGGACACAGAATAGAGAAGCAACTGAAGAAAGAATTAGAAGAGTTTGACGTAATATTAGCCAGATCCACAAAAGCCTGGGATGTAGAAAATATTTTGTTATATAGGAACTGTGTATGTTTAAAACAACTGAAATGAATTTTTTCCTGATTAGTAGCAATATATTCTTATTATAAAGGTATAAAAAGGCATTGAGAAGAAAATAAAAATCACTTGTGGTTTTATCATTTCCCAGAGATAACAAGTATTAATAGTCTTACAGAATTCACTATCTCTACACATAGAAAATATACTTCTTTAAAAAACCCCTACAAAACAGAATTCTACTGTATATACTGTTTTTAAATTCCTTTTTATTAATAATAAATTATGGACATTTTTCATGTCATTTTTGACTGCATAGGAACCCCTTTTAGGGCCAAGTATATTTAATCAATCTCTTATTAAATGGGCATTCCAGTAGTTTCATTTCTTTTTTTTATACTAAATATAATTTATTGTCAAATTGGTTTCCATGCAACACCCAGTGCTCATCCCAACAGATGCCTCAATGCCCATCATCCACTTTCTCCTCTCCCTCACCCCCCTTCAACCCTCAGTTTGTTCTCAGTATTTAAGAGTCTCTTATGGTTTGCCTCCTTCCCTCCCTCTCTGTAACTTTTTTTTTTTTTTCTTTTTTTTTTGCCCCTTCCCCTCAGTAATTTCATTTCTTAATGCTGCAAAGAATTGATGTAGGATAACATTGGGTTTAAGAACTCAGGCCCTGGAATTAGAAAGCCTAGGGTTAAAAGCTCAGCTCTAACACTTATTACACAATGAAACCTTCAGGTATTTAAACCCATTGCAGAATGGAAGAAAAACATCATGCCCACTTTACAGGATTGTGGCTTAAACATGGAAATAAATATTATTTGCAAAGAATACTCTTTGAGCAGCCAGCATCTTGCTCAAGGATACCGAGTCTTCTACTCAGGGCAGTGGAAGACATGGGACGTGGTCTATATTGAGCTTTTTAGCCCATACTCTAGAATCAGTGCTGGGAATTTCCTCTCCTTTTTGATCCTGCTGCCACGTAGGCCACTCCCCATAGTAGTGACCCTAAGGGAGAGGTTAAAGAGGGTTGGGAGGTGGGCATCATTATACTCACCAGGGCTGGTAAGGAGGGGATGGGTGATGAGCTGGAAGATTGGCCAGGCATGTTCAGGGCATTAAACTTGGGAACCACTGCAACACTGACCCTCCGACGGGGCATGTTCTGTGGGAAGAGAAGTGACCAGGCCCACTGTCATGGAGGGAACAGCATCCACAGTTCAAAAGGCCTGGAAAATTCCTACTAGTTCCTAATGCTGTAATTACATTCACTGGACATTTTGGCTTTGGGGTGGTG